AAAACTACTCATTTTCAGTTAGCCTAAACTCTGCTACAATTTTTCAAAGTGAGTATAAATTTAATACCAAATAAGTGTTTATAAGCTTATGATTATCTGTAAAACTAACACTGAGTGATTACGACCATAACTCAAAAAATTATACAGATATGATGATAATAATCTTCATAAGCTTTATTAAATAATTGAGCCAGAATAAATTGCTATAAAACTGAATGATTACACAATAACTAATAGAGCAATTCTGAGTTTTTGTTAAATGGTTACATATTAACAGCAGTTACTTAAGTATAAACAAACAAATATAAATAGGAATTATAAATGGAAGAATGCTGAATGTATGTAGTTGATTTAAACTATGAAAAGTTGATGATTACTCAACAAACTCATTATTGACACTTTGTTCTTAAATAATGAGATGTCAAAAATTCAAACAAACGTTCAGCAAACGAAATTTTCTATCAAAGTGACCCACTCATATAAAACATAAAAATAAATACCATCGAATCTTTTTGAAAATATAAGTTCTATACAACTCGTAATTTTTTATAATTTTCAGTAAGGAAGATAGGCAATAGAAGTAAAATGACAACCATTCAATCCATTTGTAGATGTTCCTCAACTAGTTACCACCTAAGAACAATAGATTTAATTACTTCAACCAAGTCTCACTTTCTAAAATATATACATACTTATCCAAAAAAATAATCTGTCGTCTTATGCCAGTAATTTTGATTTTAAAAAAGTGTGTACATCCTTTCTACGAACAACTGATACTGTTGTTCCAGTTGTGAGAAAGCAAGGAGAATATACGAAACAAATAGAATCATATCAATTTACTACGAATGCATTTTGTATCTTACTTAAGAGTAACTAATTGTGAAATGAGTGTCTTTGGTCACTCATCAGTCCACAAAATTAAAACCTGACTACTAAGCTACCTTCCAGTTCACATATCATTAGAAACATGACAAATGAAACCAGATCAGATAAATGAGTGGTTATTCATAAATCGGTATATAGTTTACGTAAAAGTTTACAGCTCAAACAGCAATCGCACTTCTCGTCGAATCAAATTTATGTAGTCAAAAGATATGCAAACATCAGTTTGATATAAGCTAACACCTAATAATTCATTTGATAGGCTAAGGCCATTTACAAATAATGTTCTAATTCCAGTTTTAAATACGGATTTCACTTGGCCGTTAGGTAACTATTAGTAGCATATATCTTATATTTATGTCGCCCAATTTGCTGATTACAGAAACGAATTATACCGGCAAATGCTTCATGACATCTTCAGAAATGTTTCCGAGATGTAGTAACACCAGAATACCAATATGGACTTGAAAGAGAATTTAATAAATTCGTTAATTTAAATATTTTTTCGCAGAGTCAAGTTACATCCATACTGAGTTTGTCAGACGACCTTTTGGAAAAACGTCATGTCTAGAGGAATAAAATTAGGTTAAATTACCGTTAGAATTACGTTCATGAGGAAGTTAAGGGGACATGGAACCCACAAAACAAATATCTATTCTACTCCATAAACCAGATTAAGGTAACTTTTAAACAGAAGTATTTGATTGTATAATCATAGGAACGCAATAATACTTCAATGATATAAATTATTGAAGTGAAAACAGTAAATATCTTGTGAAACGTCTGTGTCTAGGACGCACTACGCATACCTGTTCACTACTTACACCGATCCTAAATAGTAATGAGGTCAGGAAATAATAGAAAGAAGGCTACGGATAGTCTAAACGAGATAATGGAAACAGTCTACGAATGTATTGATTAAAAAGGTTAAAGTCCTTACAATATTCACAAATAATGGTCGAAGAACTTAAATGATAATACTCAAAATTGCTCTCATCAACATAGGTCTACTCATCCTTCATTTTTTCAACTTCTTCATTTCTAATATAGTTACATAATATTCACTAAACCTCAAGCATTAGTCAGCAACAACGTAGAGCTTCTTACGTACGTACATCGGTTCCAGTTGCCATACTACATTAGCACAGATATTAATTGTCGATTCACATCCAGTAGTGATAGAGGTAGCGAAAGTATAAGTAGTGATGGGGAACATTAAGGTTTAATGATGTTATTTAAGGAGTATAATCCAATGGAATATATTTGGAAGGAAAATAAACGACATGAAGAATTCGGAAGATTAGAATTTAAGAGAACACAGAGAGTGGATGCACCTGCGCCATTGCAAACGATTTTGAGCCATGTCATTCAAGATCTCTAACCATCGGTTGCTATCATCTCGCGGTCCCCAATCAGGTAGTCTACACCTACCAACATGGCTCAGTCCACTTGTAAGTGACTTCATGGATTTGTGCCATATTTTGGTCTGACCGCCCCTAGATTTCTTCAAACCTACTCCTACACCAGAAAACATCACAAGTCGGGGCAGTCGGTGGTCGGGCATGCGCAACACATGTCCCAGCCATCTCAACTGATCAAGTTTCGCTACTTCATCAATTGATTTGCCATCCTTACCTAGTGCCCGTTTCCTAGCAACTGCGTTACTTACTCGATGATCCCAGGATATACGAGCAATGTTTCGAAGACATCTATGGTCGAATACTAGTAACCTACGAATATCCTCTACTCTTACCGGCCATGTTTCACTGCCATAAAGTTGGACGGAACGAACTGCTGCGCAGTAAACCCGTCCTTTGGTTGATAGACGGATATCTCGCCTACGCCACAAATGACGCAAGTTGACAAAAGCTAGTCGAGCCTTCTGTATCTGTGCCGAGATTTCGTCACACATCAGACCACAAGGGCTGATGAGACTTCCAAGATAAGTGAAGCGGTCGACACGCTCAACTACTTCACTTCCTATCACTAGTTCGGGTGTCGATACAACCCAATCCTGAAGCAACATTTCGCATTTCGAGGGAGAAAATCGCATCCCGAACATGCCTGCATGGTTGCTTACGGTGGTCAACAGACTCTACATTTTGTCAGCGTCTTCACCAAATAGAACTATGTCATCGGCATATTCTAAGTCAAAAAGTGAATTTCCCGGTAGAAGTTCAACCCCTGGAAAGTCAGATTTGAAAAGTGTTATCTCTAAAAGCACGTCAACGACAAAGTTAAACAAGAATGGAGAGAGTGGACAGCTCTGACGAACACCACTTGAGGTAATCAATTCTGATGACAGTTCACCATAAGCTTTCACTCGGCCAGTTGTGTTCGAGTAGAGAGCCTTTATAAGGTTAATGGACTTATTTGGTACTCCTTTCAGTGACAAACACAGCCATAGAATCTCACAATCAACAGATTCAAATGCCGCCTTAAGGTCGAGAAACATTACTATTGTGTGAACATCTGGTCTATGCAGCCACGCCCAGGTCGGAAACCAGCCTGGTTTTCTCTTGTCTGTTAGACGTCGAATTATTATTGAAGCTAATATTTTAGACACTATTAGTCAAACTAATTCCTTTGTTTTCAATTAGTTTTTCATCATGGCTCTACACTAATATATATATGATTTACAATAATGATATAATACTCATTGAGTGGATAAGTTACGTAATAATTACATAATGACATTTAAATTAACATCTAGTATTTTGGGAGGAAGATGATTAATATTCAAAGTAATTATTAAGTTAAGAAGTTGCTAAGTTGCATAATATATGAAAAGAGAAGGAACAGAATTTGTAATGGTTGGTCAATAGAATAGCAGTTACGTAAGAATCAAGAGATGACTGTTGAGAAATTATAACGTTTAAAAGAAAAGGAAAAAAAAAACCAAAATTAAAAACTACAAACCAAATGCTATAAGTATGGAAAATAGTTCAGTTAAATGGAATGTTATACAGATGGCCAAGGAAGCGAAAGTGGTTGGACAAATTTCTTCTGAATGCAAAGGTCAGGTTTATGAGCATGGATTGCGATGGCTTCCGCAATGTGTAAAAGGCGCACTCGTAAACTGTGTGGTAAATTTGATGGGATATGGTAGATAACCTTAAAAGCTTTATTCAATTCAACTTGGTGACCTGTGTCAACCAAATGAGCGAGAATAGAACTTTTAATCACTTTTACCTGTCCTTTATTTAGCCTTCTGTATTTATCAAATGTCCAAATGGGAATTTTCACTATAATTCCTTTGTGATTGTCACAAGAGGACTTTTGCCGTTTGTCATAGACTGACACAATCAGTGATCTCATTCATAACTTCTCAACTGTATTTATTAGGTATAGTTTGTTAATTAATTTGATATCTTTACAAACTTAGAGAACAAAAAATTCGAAACGTCATTACGAAATGCAATGTAATTTAGGATCATATTCTCCTCTTTTCTACTTGTAGTGTTATCTGAAAGAGGGAAAGCTTTAATTCAGAGTTTATCATATCAGCCTTAGCTAAGCATATTAGCGGAGAAAAGATCAGTAGATAGTTTAAGATTAATTGCTCCTTAATGTCAATCGCGTAGGTCATTGAGTTGAAATTTACTTGTATGAACGAATAAATCAAAATTATGAAGTCCTTGTTTTCCCGTATGCTGTTCAGATCGAAGGTCTTAAAGAGCATAAATTTCACGACTTATGGATACTGAGAAAATACAGTAACGTAAATGGGGGAATTATCGTGGTTGAAGATAAAACACCAACTGAGCAACTTTACAAAACCACTGAACAAATTCCAACGTTTGATGCTGACATTTTGATTTCAAAGATATTCTGGTATAAAGAAATGGACCCCACAACGACTGTCAGTTTGTAAACTCTGCTTAAAAGTAACCGAGTAGAAACACCAATTCAGTTCTGCTTCGAAACTTCAATATCTAACAACCTATAAATGAAATTGTAATCCTCAGGGAGAATAAAATGCAAAACGAGTTAAGAATGCATAAGTATTAAACAAAAATGAATATGTAGATAACGGTGGACCCCCCACATGAAAGCATCTACGCAAGCTAACTAAAATTGAAATAAACCGAAAAAGACGAAATTTAAAAATATTCAACTTTGTCATACCACATGAAAGGATATATTTGGGAAAGAAGCACATTTTACAATCAAAATTGTAATAACACAAGCAACTATAATAACAGCTGATGAGTGAAGAAGGGGAAAGACAAACACAACAATATTCTGGCACGGAGAAGTAAGGATAGTAAACAATAAATGAAAATAAGAAGACCAAAATATCTTTTTACCAAAAATAAAGAAATCAAAACAGAATATACACAACCTACTCTTTCACCGAAAAAATGGGTAGTATTTAATGAGGATATGTAAATATGACCAAAATGCAAAAACTAAACACTTGATTATAACAAACTTTTTTGGAAATTCTTTCGATATAAACAGTACTTGCGCATGTGCTTATACGGATTCTAAGACATTACGAACAAAATATAAACTGAACTTCTTTGATAAGAATTGATTTTATTGTACTAAGTTGCAAACTTACAATGAGATGGTGATTACAATTTAACAACATAACCGAAAAACAAAATGACGTTTGGTATTCTGAAACAATGAATTGTCAAATAATAGTAGCAAAAATCATCACTTTATAATGCATTAATATTTATGATTTGAACAGTTACAATACAAAGAACTAATAAGTAATCACAGGCTTTTCTGAACTGAAACATTTATGGCCAAAAACACTTTTCTTAGATTTTCGGTAATTTGGGTGCAGTTATAACGGGATTGGATTCAATTATATAACGACGTGCTTCTGCTTTATAATCGTACTGACAAGCATGAACCTCAGCGTAACGATGTACAGAACAGAAACTCCGATCACAACTACATGGAAAGAGATTAAAAAGAAATCACTTGTTTTATATAGTGCTTAAACAACTATAAGTCTAATAAAATGACGAATGTCCATATATGTTGTCATTTAAACAGAATACATATATGCAGAAAATGAATCATCCAGGAGAGTCAAACAATATAAGTTCCCAGCATGATTTTATTAACCGTAACTATGCAGTATATATCAAAAATGTCCGAAAAGCTGTATTACAACAAGGTCAAATAAATTAAATTTTGTACGCAACTTAATAGTTTTGAATTTTTTGGACGTTTGTGGATATGGTGATTTTACATATGATTATTTTCCAGAATGACATTCATTTACGGACTGTAAAAACAAACAAATCAGACGAAGATTTACAAAAAGTTTCGGTTTAAAAATTTTCAACCTGATACTATACTGAATTGCGATTCTTTTTATCAATATGGAATTCTATACATACATGGCTGAGTACAATAAGGAAAGTATGATCTAAGAGTGAGTGATAACTGCGTAGTCATGCATATACTAATGTATAACTCAGTTATGGCATAATCTTATTACTAGTGTGATGAATGAAGTAAACCAATTTATTGCACTACACAATACCATACACACCGTAATTGTAAACAAGTAAAGTACATTAAAAGCATTATTTAGCCATCTTTTTTTAATTATCCCTCACAAACTTCATCGTCTTTTCATTCCTGTTGTTATTTAGATTGCTTCATGTTTTCTTTTATCTTCTCTTCATTCTCTTCTCCTGTCTATAACAATTCCTGATATAACCTACTTATATCTGTCCGTATTAATAAAACACAACAAAATAGTACATAAGTGTAAAAGAGCTATTCTCAGTAAATAAAGAAATAACTACATTTATTAAATCAGAATCCAACATAAACATCATTAGTTGTTCTCAGAAGTGTGAAGCACATTTATCTGATTATTTATTTGAACATAAATATTCATAAAAGTGGGCACCAAATACATATGCGTCACACAATAACAATAAGGTTGTTAAGCGATAGATAATGTAAAGCCTGACAATAAAAAGAACAGCAAACAGAAATTAGTGTATGAGAGTGGAATAATGATAATAATAATAACAAGAGAAATAGTTCATTTAGGGGAAATACGAGCAGAAACAATACTTTTAACTACAGAAGTAACGTTCATTTTTATGAAGTAAAAAAAAGTTACAGTAGGATCGCCACTGGCTTCTATTCTGAGCCATCTCTAGGACCCCAACCATCGAGTCTTGAAGGACCAAAAGAACCCATTCCTGTTCAGCTTTATTTCATACCACGACACCATCTCACACGCTTACCACCTCTCCACTTTTTCCAACCAAACCCAGCGTCGGCAAATAATGCACAACGTGGAATTTTCTGGGACGACATTCGTAGAACATGTTCAAGCCACTGAAGTCGATGTTTTGAGATAGTGACACTAATTGAATTCTCGACGTTGTACCGGAACACACGATGCCCAACCTCTGCATTACTAATATAGTGCTGCCACTAAAATCCTCATCTCAGAGTGGCCAGGTTTCACAAGCATAGAGCAAAACTGCTCTCCCCCACGCTTTGTAGATCCGATATTTTACAGCCAAACTGACATCACGAAGGCTCCAAAGATGACACAGGTTGTCATAAGCCGATTCAGCTTTCACTATTCGTGAATTGATCTCATCACTCGCCATCACCAGCACTTACGCAGTGCCGGATCCTGTCAGTCCTATAAAAGTACTTTGCACTCCGAAGGTGCAAAGCACATTCCATAACTACGGACACTGATTGCCAACTGATTTAGTGCGGATTGCATGGATCGGGTATTATTACACAGTAAGATAAAATCATCCGCATACTCGAGGACGAGAAGTTTTTCTCCAGACAACAGATTCAAACCACCATTACTTACATCCATCAGAGCTGTTTCCAGAACGCCATCGATGGCCAAGTTGGGGAGGGATGGTGAGATTGGGCAACCCTGACTAACCCTACTGCTTGAATGGAACAATGGAGAGATGTGGTTTTATTCCCTTACTCTGTCTGAGGTGTTAGTATATAAGGCTTTCAAGATGTTGATAATGTTTTCAGGCAGACTCTTCTTCAACAGACAATCCCAGAGAACAGTCTTGTCAAACGAATCGAAGGCAGCCCTGATGTCAAGAAACACTATGATTGTTGGCCTTTGATAAGTATGACGGTGTTCTAACATTTTGTGGAGAGTGAAGATATGATCAAAACATCCTCGACCAGGACGAAAACCAGCCTGCTCCTCGCGAGTCAATCTTTCTCGGGTTTTGAACAATCTACGAAGTATAACGGAAGCCAATAGTTTGAACTCAATCGGAAGTAGACCTATCCTCCGATAGTTGTTGCAGAAATGACGCGAACCATTTTTAAAGATAGATAGGGAGAACTATCGACTCGTTCCATGATGTTGGAACACTCGCTAACTTTCAAACCTTTGTTAGCAACTCAGTCAGTTCATTAACTAGAAGGTGGTAGGAGGTAAGTTAAATGGTCCTGGCGATTTGTGGTGCTTCGGGAGTTGGAGTTTTTTACGGAGTTCCGCCTTATTAGGTGGGTCAGTCATCATGAGCCATGGAGGGCAGAACAGTCTGGTCGATGTTGCCGGGGCAGTAGACCACCTGAACTATCCCTCGAGAAAATTCTGTCTATCATTCAAGACGTCTGTACGTGTTATTGATTGGCCTTCCGTTAGCTTCACAGATAATTTCACTTTCACCAGACTTAGCGCGACACCACAGCCAGCAAAACAAGATTTCGAAGCTATAGATGGAGAGCGAATTCGCAGTACTTTACTGGTCTTAAATACGGATCTTAGAAAGACAACAGACATCGATGTTACGACTTTCTAAAGATATAGTGAACCCTGTCTGTTGTCCAATCTGTATTAGGCGTACCTCAGAAGTACATAAACCTTGTGAAGGCTTTTTACTCGAACACTACTAGTCGGGTCAGAGCCTATGGCGAACTGTCATCTGCTTTTGCAACCTCAAGTGGCGTCCATCAAGGCTGTCCACTTTCTCCATTTTTGTTTAACTTTATCATAGACATCCTGATGGAAATAACGCTCTCATCGACTGAATTCTCGGGTATTGATCTCCTACCAGGAGGTCCACTTATTGACTTAGAATACGCAGATGACATAGTCCTGTTTGGTGAAGACGCTGATGAAATGCAGAGTCTTTTGGTAGCACTGAGCAACAATGCCAGGATGTTTGGGATGCGCTTTTCCCCCTCTAAATGCAAGTTGTTGCTTCAGGACTGGTCTGCATCAACACCTGAACTAAGGATAGGGGGTGAAGTAGTCGAACGCGTTGACAACTTCACTTATCTTGGAAGTCTGATCAGCCCTAATGGGTTGGTGTCTGACGAAATCTCAGCACGGATTCGAAAAGCTCGCTTGGCCTTTGCCAACTTACGTCATCTATGGCGAAGGCGAGATGTCCGTCTATCAATTAAGGGACGAGTATACTGCGCGGCAGTTCGTTCCGTTCTACTATACGGCTGCGAAACATGGCCTTTAAGAGTAGAAGATATTCGTAAGTTACTAGTATTTGACCACAGGTGCCTTAGAAATATTGCTGGGATCTGCTGGGATCACCGGGTAAGTAATAGTGAGGTTAGACGTAGGGTATTAGGGAATGATGGTAAATCAGTTGATGAGGTTATGAATCTTCATCGACTGAGATGGTTGGGTCACATGCTGCGTATGCCTGAACACCGATTACCACGGCGCGCAATGGTAACCGGTGTTAGGGATGACTGGAAGAAAGTTAGGGGCGGCCAAATCAAAACGTGGCATCAGTGCTTGAAGTCACTAACTTCTGGTCTGAGCCATGTTCGTAGATGCAGACTGCCTGGTTGGGGTCCGCGTGACTATCGTAACCAATGGTTGGAGACTCTTGGTGACATGGCTCAGAATCGATCACAATGGCGTCGGTGTATACACTCTTTGTGTTTCTTCAAACTAAGAGATTAAAATCGCTTCATATCTGTCTAGGAACTAATTCTTTCTTCCTTTACTATCTCCTTATACACAATCTTTCTTTTATATATTACCACCACTGAATTAACTACTCCTATGAATCCGGTGTTCATCTTGTTGTGCTAATGCGGTATGGCAACTTGGACCGATGCATATACGTGCCTGGTCCTACGTTGCAGCTGACTGACTGACTGACTGAGTGCGCGAACGGTGAATTATGCCAGTTTGAATGGTATTCGTGATTTCAGAAGGACTGGTTCAGTATTCGTAGTCAGTTGTAGCTTTCGACTAGTCAGATTTCTTACCGTAGGCGAGCAGTTGTAAAGGTTGAAAATTAAAATACCAATATGAGAATATAAGGGAACAAATAAGTGACGTGATATAAAAAAACGAATGTTATCAAATTATTGTGAAGTGATTTATTTGAATGAGAATTGAAGTGAGAATAGTTTTTCCAGTAGAATTCACCATTTGTTTTGTGTGAGAGCTGGAGTACTGTCTGGGCATTCAAAACGAAGCAAGCTTTTGACATTAATGGCTGATCCACACAGCAATGGAGCAACGTTAAGAAGTGCAGTCGCATGGTAGACAGTGGCCAACAAAAGGTTAATACACCATTTGCTCCCTCAGGATTCTGAAGCTCATGTGCACCACAGGTTTGGAATCAGGTTTTCCCAACTCCTTTAGGTGAATCCTCTGTATCCACCAAGTAAATTATCTTCAAAAAAACAAAGTTTACTTTAGATGAAAATTGAAAGTTGTGATAATTCAGTATTCGCTGAGAAAATACGATTTATACTATAAATATTTATCAATAATACTAATATGATTGGATGATGTGCTAACAAGGTTAACGTAAGAATCAAATCAAATAAGATTGTTTGCTTCAGTTTACAGCTGTCTCTAATAAAAGTGAAGGATAGAACGAGATGGGTACCAGTTCCATGCCTAGTGAACACAACTAAATCCATTCAAATCAAAGCAGTAAAATAAAAAATAAAAGTGGATTATGCCAAAATTCATTGCACAAACTCACAGGACAACGAAATGAACATACCGACATGTGTAAGTGTTTGTAAGCCCTATTTTCCGCAAGCACACAGAACATCGTTTGCGTCTAGTGGAATTAGGGGATGAAGGCAAATGAAATGCTTTAATTAAAATAGTCGAAATATAGTGTGGAGTAATGGGATTCAATAATTTCTCATCACAATCGTTCGGTTTGCTGAAATGGATAGGAGTATTCAGTCGACTTCCCCCTCTTGAAGGTAATCGTGGTGAAATAGTTGTGGCCAGGTGACCTAAATATTTAAAGGAATTTTAGATGTTAAAATTGGTTTGAAACTTCATCTTCATACTAAAACCTTGTAAATACTACAAACCATAAAATAAAACATCGATTAACTAAGGTAAGTTTAGATAACTGAAAAAACAATAGTTCCTTTGACAATTAATTTTAGCGAATATATTAGAGATGTGGTTAGATCATTGTGTGTTCGGAGTGATAATTGTTATAACTCATACAAAGCAAAATGTGGCTGATACCCAAGTAATTTAAAGGATAGAAAATGGTTAATAGATCATTTTGTGGGATTAGGAAATGTTCCCCACAGTTATGAATAGGGAGATATCGTCGACTTTTTGACAACACTTATCTTGAGGTTTTTCGGTTTGTTATAACTCGATAAAAATATCCTGGCATCATGGGAAAACAGATTTCTAAACTTCGTGAAAGACCACAAAATTACAGTGTTGCACCATATGAGAGAACACGCCTAAAACTGGATCCTTAAGATAATAATGTTTGCTTAGAAACATAAAAATGGAATCAAATTGTCACACGATAGCGGAATATCATACTTTTATGAAGAATGAAGACTACTCAAAGAAAGTTTTCTTTTCGATGATATCACACTCTTAAGTTGTATAATTGTATTTCCATGTAATTTCGTACATTTAGTAGTCTATAGTAAGATTGAGAAGGGCTGCAAAATTATCAAAGATAGCCAAACTTGTTCAAGTATCGGATGTGAGGGTCTAGAGAAATGAAGTGGTTGCATAGGTTAATAAAGTAATCAATGATTATCAAGTATTGAATATAAGTCTATAAATAGGAAGGTTTTTATTTCAAAGTAGATAAAGTTATCAAGTAATGAATGAAATGGGTTGTTGCATCATTTAGCAAAGTAATAAAATAAGATTATATGACAGTTCTAGAGGTAATAAAAAATAATTTATACAGTGAATAAAAAATCAATCGTGTACATTACAACGAAGAATGTGAAGAATCGAATAAGAATTAGAGCTTAAAATCTATAAAATTAGGAGTGGTGCTAAGGCTGTTGAAGAATAAATGATTGAACATAACTCTTTTGCATATAGAGGTCGATGAGTTGGGGACTGAATATTAACCTCTTTTACGCCGTTAATAAGTTCCTACTTTCTAGTCCAATAGTACATCTCGGTTAAATCTATTCTAGATGCAGCTTTGTTAACACTTGACTTTATAATTCAAGTTTCTTTAGCCAGTCTAAACAGTAATCTGATACTAACGACCGCTACTTTCTCTTTCATCTTCACTTTTATTGGCCATCACTTATCCCGATCATAACGTGGATATTAAGCTATAATCTCCTCCGCCATCTTCGTCATAGCGGACTGCCAGGATGAGTTTCCGAGAAGTCGTTAGCTTAGCAGAATCCTTAACTCATCTACTCTTTTCAATCTTCCGACTTAGGTCACTAGCAGATGTTACCGATATTTCTAAACAAATTCGAACTTGGTGTCTAGCTATTTTAGGATGAACATTAATACACGGTTAACAAACTGCTCAGTTGGTTTAACCTTGAACATAACCCTTCACCTTCAAATTGTCTTCTGCTGCGAACAGTTTTCAAATCTTCATGGAAAAATTTTATGAACACCTTGGAAAATCGCTTGCTCTCGATAGGCCTTATATATATACGGTGCCATTTGGCGAAATACTAGGGCCTGTTACAAAAAGTACGAAACTAGACAAACAAGGATCCATGTTTCCTAGTACATATATTTTCTGGAAGAGTTTGCTATAGACACTAGTGTAATGGAGCACATACTACCAAAAAAACTTTTTTCCATGCTCACTACTAAGTAGTATGCAAATGAAAGTTATTTTTATCCCAGAACATAATTCCGAGACAACATTACACATGATAAATGGGGTAAATGTCAATATTAAAAAGAAAACACCATTCTTCTAACCACATATGGATGTAAACCTAGTTTGAAGATGTCTCAACGAATTTGAGAGATTTGTTATGCAGTTTACTAAGGTAAAACTATATGCCAGCGAGTAAAAAGTACCTGTCGATACTGAACTCCCCAACTTCGGCAAGAATGGAACGAAGGACCAAGTTTTCGTAGGAGTCGAACGATTGCTATTTGAACTAAAACGACTGGAACTCCCAAGTTTTGTCGATTTGCTAACTTGTAGAGAATTCATTGAATGTTTTCGGGTTTGACAGATAGAAACACTACATAACGTTGGTTCATTGTATGACAAAGTGGTCACCGAGGTTGTGAGGTTTTCGTCAAGAGACGAAAACTGATTTATAGGTTGAGGAGACCTCAGAGACAAGGAGTTTCCAAATATACTACCCTCTGAACTTTGTGAAGTGTATTCTGGATAGAAAAGGGAGGGTAAAACGCTAGGAGTCGATTCAGAACCTCTACTCTGTGAATCAGCTGTTCTGATGAGGCAGTTAACATCGGGAGGCGTGATAGTAGCGTAACGACGCTGACGAATTCGATCCCTGGTGTCAATCTGAGGCGACCTGTTATGAAACATACAATTCAAAATTTGTGCCGAAAATATAGTGGTATATTATGTACATATACTGAAAGATAAACACCTGAATAAATTACGTGGATTATTCATACATTAATTTGTCACAGCATCTGAGTGAAAACTGTTATGTCCGAACGAATGATAGACGAATAGTAAGTGCTATGAGTTATTTATGGACTATTATTACGTATGTTCTTATAGGATAATTATTAAATAACTAGACTATATATGTTCGTATTCTTTTTATCATAAACTTTCATTTGACCTATTAGCTACTGTTATATAATTTACCATGCTTAACTTATTCTCGATTTCTTGGTCACAGTATCCAATACTTGCAGCGACTCTTAGCTTGATCTTATTATTTTTCAATTTATGGTGTGATGCAGTCTGGTCTGCCTGTATATAAATCACGTATGTCTGAAGTATACAATTCACATTGGGAAGGCTGATATTTGTGTTCTGGACTGAACGGGCTGGGCGAAAAGATACCATACAGAGGACCAATAAGGACATGGACTCGACTCAAGGCTGTTTGTGCTGGCTTACGCATCATTAGTTTGGCACAAAGACAAGGTCATAGAAGTCGATATGCTGACTGGCGATTTTGTCACGTGCTATTTAACGGGCCATAGGACATAACAGGAACCTTTCGTGATAAATAAACAGGACAAGTTCTGGCATTGTAAAAAGCCTAAAATGGTCAAAAACTGTTCGTATTAAACCAACAATTGATGGAAATAATCAATGAGCCATGCGCAACGTAGAACCAAGCAAATATGTCTATTGGTTCAAGTTGCCTAACCACATTACCACAGCAAGGTGAAATAACCAAGATAAATCTAAGAGTAGAACTAGTGACAGAATCAGTGATATTAGGAAAGATCATGTATAAAAATGGACAAAAAAAGATTTCAGGACTCGAGTTTTAAGGGAGGACAGAGAGTAAATGCATCTGAATTTGTCCAAACAGTTCTCAGCCACGTCATTTACAGTCTCTAAACATTGGTTACAATAATCCCTCAGACCCCGGCCATGTCATCTACAACCACCTACATCGCATAGTTCAACTGTGACTTCGTGGACTGATGGCATGTCCTGGTTTGGTTGCCCTCAATTTTATTCCAGCCTACTTCTACACCAGACAACATCGCTTGTCAAGGTAGGTGGAGATTGGGTATACGTGTCAAATGCCCCAGTCACTTCAGTTGATGAAGGTAGGCTACCTGACCAACCAATTTGCCGTCTGTACCCAGAACCCTGCGCCTAACATCACTCGGTGGTCCCAAAATACACGAGCGATGCTTTGGTAACATCCATGATTTGATACAAGTAACCTTTAAAGAATAGATCAAACTGGTGCACAGTAGACTCATTCTTCGGTTGCGAAACGGGCATTTCGCCAACGTCACAGGTAACGCAAATTGGCGAAATCCAATCGACATTTTACGATGCCCCAAACCCACCAGGGATGGTGAGACTTTTAAAATATTTGAAGTGGCGGGTGTGGTCGATTAGCTCACTTCCTATCATTAGTTCAAGAGTTTACATAGACTAGTCCTGAAGCAAAATTCCGCACTTAAAGAGAAAATGATCGCATCCCGAAAATGTTGGCAGTGTTATTTAAGGAGATCAGAAGATTGAATTTTGTCAGTGTCATTGCCAAGCAAAAGTGAATCATCTGTGTGAATTTATGGTGAGACAAACTGCTGAAAAATTAGATGAGAGAGACACGACTAAAAGAATGTCTATGATGAAGTCAAATGAAAATGAAGAAAGTGAACTGCCCTGTGAAACATTACATGAGGTTGGAGAATCTGATGACAGTTTGATTGTGCAGTTAAGGCATTTAAGGTTTCTTTTTCAGGAGAGGATAAACTTCGATTTCTCTCAGAAATATAAGTAGTTTCCGTAATGTCTCCATTCAGTGAGCTTATTCCAACGACCATTTCTAAATTTGGGGGACTTTGACCAATGTTGTTTGAATTTCGCTCCCTTAACCCACAACTAGACCAAAAACAAGTAAACAACAAACGATTGGTGTGGACTGGATAACAAGAATTCGTAAAACTATCATAATAATAAGGTAGAACTTTGGCAACATAACATTCACTACTATGTAAATAAATTCGAACTTATGTAGTTATTGTGAGATAGAGTCTTTTATGAACCCTAGTGGTATCAGGTCGAAATCATTAGCTATTATCTGCTCAACTTTTCATGACCATTAGTCGTACAGTTCCGACTGGGGTCTTTCTGATACGCTACTACACCACACACAGTGTCAGTCGTAATATGAAAGATTAGGCATCGAAGATACGACTCGAAAAGAAAATACAAACCAGTGAAATAAAAAGTTGTGAATTTAGAAACTCAGGGATTGGGAGAAGACAAAGAAAAGATATACCTGCACAATTTCAAACGATTTTGAGTCATGGCATTTACAGTCTTTAACCAATACTTACGACAATCACGCGCACGCCAACCAGGTAGCCTGTACCTGTGAACATGTTTAAGTCCAAATGAAATGTTTGGTTTACATGAAGATAACACATTGTCAGTATAAAGTCTCGTAAATTTATGTTCTAAATCGGCCAGCTCGTCACATGAAGAAAAAGCTGAAATCCCAATAACTTAAATGGACTTGATCATTACTACTCAGTAGTGTGTATGAACACTCAGAACTGATATCTTGTCTGTAGACAATACTACTTGGTTGTTGATTCCTCCAGTGTTATGCTCTATGTTTAGTTATTGTACTTTTCTAAAAGCTTCGTCGTGCAATATGTTTTGTACATTGAACAAATAAGTGAAAAACTCACACAAAAATAGTTACCTTCTAGAAATTAACATAAAAAGCTAAATACGGAAACAGTTGTGATTAATGGACGACTCTCAGTGGAAACAGAAACAATAATTCGCTTAAGGGGATTACAGGTTAAACATAGTTTACTTGTCCCGTAGACCAATTATTTCGCAAACTTAAGTAGTATAAAAATTATCGGTATTATATGACACAGTATTTCTATGATTCAACGCCACTTATCAGCACGAAAATATACAGTACAAATGACCATCTCATTAATTACACACCGTGCATGGTTTAGTAATTTATCGACCAAATACTAAATCATAAAGTTATTGATTTTAACCAATTTTGCCGACTTTAACTCAATCAGCTGGATTTTATATCCATAGGTGGGTCCTAGCTAAAGAAATTCGACTCTCCGAGCTCCATATTATTATAAAAATTAATATTAACGATTCATGCTTTATCAAAATCATTATAAACTGGCTGTGAAAGCAGAAAAGGAAATGAATTATGAAAACGCAAAATTAAGTGCAAAACACCAATTGAAAGTGTACTTCGGGAAATCAGATGCATCTTTCAAACAGTTCAGGGACGAAGTATGTAGATTTGACAGATGATTTTTGTTGATTTGTGAGTTCTTCCATGGAAAATCACAGGAATTAGCAGCGATTTCATTAACTTGCTTGGAATTTCTTCCCCAGTTGGAAATGTCTAAGACAGTAGGAAAAAGTAGACCGTTCAAACGATTAGGAAAATTCATGAAAAACTGAGAACTATAGTACTTGGTTCAGCTTGTGGAAACAGCAATTGAGATTACACTTATCACATAATAGAACACGTAGAAGTTGGGAACTAGTGGTTAATTTGAAATTAACCAATTAGCAATGAATACCATGTTACCACGAGTTTGGAAATCTGATGATAAATGTGAGGAGAAAACTACCTACACTAAAAGCCAGTAATTTACAAAAACGTAACAAGAAAATATAATCAGTCTTAATAGAGTGGTTAGTAATCACACTACATGTAATAATTCAGAGCTTAGTAAGAAAGCATCTAATTTACAAAGTAATTTAAACTTGTTTACTATTCCTTATCGTAAAAATTCCGAAAGGAACTCAGTTGAATGATAACTGTAAGACGACACACATTTTTTACTGTCTAAACTTATACGATTTACTCAGAACGGAAGTTAACAATTAGGCATTTTAGATTAACAGAATCGAAGAGGCATACCATGATACTGATCTTCAGCTGACGTTTCTTCTTTACATATAGAATATATAGTATTTTGTGCATTTTGATACCACTTTTGCTTCCTCAGACGAATACTTTTCATTTGAGTCTTCAAACGTTTTACTTTTTCTGCAAGCTCGTCACACTCTTGTAGCCAAACAAAAGCTTCGGCTCGGACGATACTATTGATTGTACTCTCCAAAGCTTCGCAACGAATATAATGCGGATGATTAAATCCACAATTACAGCAGGAGTATGACTGATAGCCAGTAGATACGAGCGGTGGACTGTCATCATCCCGATCAGTATCCGTTTCAAAATTGATAGAATCAACCGAATCACACTCTTTATCGGACCATTCACTGTCTAAAAATGCGAAACGCATTGAGGGATTTTGTTCTTCACTTTCTTTCGGTAGGGGAGAAAATTTTCTGCGCGATTGATACGGACAATGCGGTCCATAACAGCAGAGAATAGATGTTCGATTGGGAACAACCTTAGCCAGTAAACTAGCAATGATATTCACCGCTGTAGAATTAGTTGTTTCCGTATTGCTATAATTATCAAGATCGCCAACACCATTCACCTTATTTTCTTTGTACATTTTCTCGATATTTAATTCATTTTCTTCAGAATCACCGAAAGTCAGACAAGTTCTAGATTTCTGATCCTGTTTGTGAAAAGGAGGAGGAATATGATGAGTATCACATGAAACCCAAATAGATGGACGATTTTCCTGATCTAATGCAGAAGAGGATTCAGAATAATGAGCTGATGGCGAAAATGGAGACAAATTAGAGGCTTCAGGAATGCTTGAATGATTTTTAACTGCTACACCTATCGGGACACTTGATTGTGCAGTTAAGGCATTTAAGGTTTCTTTTTCAGGAGAGGATAAACTTCGATTTCTCTCAGAAATATAAGTAGTTTCCGTAATGTCTCCATTCAGTGAGCTTATTCCAACGACCATTTCTAAATTTGGGGGACTTTGACCAATGTTGTTTGAATTTCGCTCCCTTAACCCACAACTAGACCAAAAACAAGTAAACAACAAACGATTGGTGTGGACTGGATAACAAGAATTCGTAAAACTATCATAATAATAAGGTAGAACTTTGGCAACATAACATTCACTACTATGTAAATAAATTCGAACTTATGTAGTTATTGTGAGATAGAGTCTTTTATGAACCCTAGTGGTATCAGGTCGAAATCATTAGCTATTATCTGCTCAACTTTTCATGACCATTAGTCATACAGTTCCGACAGTAAATTACATTCGGAAACTAATCAGAAATCTAGACTGGGGTCTTTCTAATATGCCACTACACCATACAATGTTTTCCATTCCTAAAAATAGAACAAAACGTAAATAAGAATAAACAATATCATGGGAACTGTAGCATACAGCGTGACTAATGTCACGGGGAAATACTGTTTCTGAAGTATGAGAATGATAATCTTAGTAAAAAAGCAGCCATGTACAATATAGATTCCACTTTATAGTGTTTGTATCAAACATAATTAGGAGTGCTTTTGTTATTATCACCTCGACAGACACTCAATATCATAAATGATTGCAACAGGGAAGAATCCAAAAACACTAGCTCAGAGAAATATATCACATCCCTCTGATGGCTTGCCACGTGAAACAAGTTTGAAACATGAAATGAAACATACATTACCAACCTAGTGACTTGTAACATTTCTCGCAATTCACTAACCAAAAACTGAGTGTAAACAACTCGTATTGTAGAATTGAGCAGACATTTCATGATAAAATAACATCTGGTTTCCACGAAAAAACCAGTCTAACTTTGTGAGTTGATAACATGAGAAATTTACGGTACTTTAAAAAGAGCTTCATAAATAATAGTGATTGAAATTACTTTAATGGAGTGTCTATCTTGACAGAATTCAGAAAAGAATCTGTGAAACTAACATCCATGACTTTCTGTGTTACAGAGGATGAAACACTACTAGATTCTGATCGAACATCTACCGAAAGATCAGGTAGTGATTCCAATGCATGATCGCTTGTTAACACACTATCTAAGTTGGCTTTGTTCATTTTGTACCATTCTGCACCAGTTTGTTTTGCTTTGTTCAAAATCAGATCAGAAAGTCCTCCATTTTCAGTTTTTTGCGATTGCACTATACTCGGTTTTATCACTGGAGTTAAGACGTTTGAATACACGAAACTATTGCCAGAGGTAGAGCTGGATACTGAAGTAAAGGATGGTACAGTGGTTTTTGATGGGCGGGTGGGTGTCAGATGTGGCGGTGGCGTCCGATGCTCACTAAGTGGACCACTTCGAAGACTTAAAACTAGACACAATGTCGAACCCGCAGATATGGAATAATCTCTTAGTCGACGATGATTATCCAATTCGCAATTTTGCCAAACAAGGTGTTGTTGATTTATTGGAATACCTGTGACAAGAAATTCATAACATAAACAGCGGGAATTTTCAGAATAGACCCATAGCAAAGTCAATAATACTATAACGAAGAAAATAATATTGCAAAACTTTTGAAGCCAAGGAATAATTACCGTTTAGATATGCTGAAATAAACCTTCGTCTACGAACAACGTGGAGGAAAAGACTAAGATAGTCAGGTCGAGTTCAATTATCGTTAAAACAGCGTTTAAACAGACTTTTAGGGACTGCAGACATCATAGTACAAGAAAACGAATACATGGACGGCTTGTGTTAATTTCACTAATATTATCTTATCTTTTCAATCGACGTTTATTTCTTTTGCTGGCTTTATACTGCTCGTGTTTTGCTGCATTTTAATTTTCCACATGTTGTACAGGTAGTAGCGATTGAGACTATCCCCAGGTATAAATCTTTTTCTGCCAGTTTGTATTTTACATTTACTAAGATCCTAATCGAGTTTAAATTCAAAAACAAACGTTAACAAATCTTGTCAGCAGAAGATTTCGCGATCCATTTTTTAACTTACTTATTCTATGTGCTGTTTTAAGTCATCGATGCCCTACATCTACAATTTTAGCTTTAGATCAGCATTAGTAATGAGGACCTGTTATGACACGAATACCGTTATGCTGTCAATGGACGTACATACGAAACTTACAAAGAGATTAGTATTTGGATTCGACAAAGAGCGTTCACCGTCGAGCTGTTTCGTATTGGGACAAAACCTCAATCTAGTAATCCCTGATTATTGGCTTACAATCTGGTGTCGTTCCCCCGACCGTTGCTGCTACCTTGACGTAGGGGTCGGGCTTACCTGTCGTGATGAACCAATCGAGCTATACTGGCTGGAACAATCATTCCTCAAGGTCCTACCGTGCCAGACAGGTCGGCTGAAGAACAGTAAGACTGAAAGTAGCAAGGCCAAGGTCCGAAGGCGAAGTCCTACTGCTGACTGTACAGAGGTGTGATGACAGTAAGGTGTTTCTTTCAGACAACCAGCATAACAGCAATGCTGCCTTCCTACAAGCAGGGGTGGAATTAGAAAAGATCTCCCCTAAAATTCACACTTCGCCTTATCCCACGGATATCCGTCTCCGGCGGCAAGGTCTCAACAAGTACGAAGCGAGCACGAAAATCACTCATAAAAACGTCGTGTGTGATCGACCTCAAGCAGTTGTCCCTTGGGCACTGTGGTCAAGCTCTCAGGTCACAAGACCACCTCTAATCCATTTTCCTTTTCAGGTACCTCTAGAAGAACCCCTCCACAGTGTGGGCGACCGGATCAGAAACGTAACCATTAAAAGTAGAAGATATTCGTAAGCTACTAGTATTTAACCACAGATACCTTAGAAATATTGCTCGCATCTGCTGAGTTTAGACGCAGGGTATTAGGGAATGGTGGTAAATCAGTTGATAAGGTTGTAAATCTTCATTGACTGCAACAGTTGGGCCACGTGTTGCATATGCCTGAACACCGATTACCACGACGTGCAACTCTGACTAGTGATCAGGATGATTGGAAGAAAGTTAGGGGTGGCCAAACCAAAATGTGGCATCAGTCTATAAAGTCACTACTAGTTTGAGCCATATTGGTAGATGCAGACTACTTGGTTGGGGTCTGCTTTACTATCGTAAACAATGGTTAAGGGACTCTGGATGACATGGCTCAGGATCAATCACAATGGCGTAGGTGTATACACGCTCTCTTCCCTTAAATCGTGAGATTGAAATTTATTTATATCTTTTTTTCTACCAACTAAATCTTTCTTCCTGTACTATATCCTTATATGCAATCTTTCTTTTACATATTCGGTGTTCATCTTGTTGTACTAATGAGGTATGGCAACTTGGACCGATGCATATATGTACCTGGTCCTACGTTGTAGATGACTGACTGGTGTCGTCCCCTAATGCAAACCACCTTGCCTAACCTCTTAATCGAACAAGGATTGATATTGATTACGAATACACCAACAGTTTTATCATAGTGAGTATAGTTACCACTGAGTGAATATAAACATTTACTAATGTTTACAAACCGACAACGTACGACCTGGTAGAAATGTGTCCACACTTCACGGCAACACTAACGTGAGACCGTGAAATAAAATAGACAAAACGAATAACATAGGATATACATCGGAGAGGATAAAGCTCCGAACGAAATGTAATGGAATAATACTATGCCAACTCAATTTGTACACCAAAAGGCGAACGATAGGCCGATAGTTATATGACTGGATACTTGCGACAAAAACAATACATAGTTGTATGATCACGAATGAACACAAGAACAGACGACTAAGTGATACTCATGTACACTGACATACATACAGACAGTTTGTGACAGAATGACTAACTACACTGTCTGAAGCGTAACTAGAGGCTGACGTAGACCAGTACTGAGTCAGTAACAAAGTAGAACTTCGTACGTATGTACATCAGTTCGACTTAACATACCACATTAACACAGAAATGCAGTTTACGATTCAAATTACGTAGTGGTAGAGGTAGAAAGAGTATAAGCAGTAATCGGAAACGTTAGGGTTTGAAGATGTTATTCAAGGAGTATAATTCAGTGAAATAAATTTGGAAAGAGAAAGAAAAAACATGAAGAATTCAGATTAGAATTCGGGAGAACACAAAGAGTGGATGCACCTGCGCCATTAAAAACGATTTTGAGCCATGTCATTCAAGGTCTCTAACCATCAGTTGCTATCATCCCCCGGATCCCAACCAGGTAGTCTACATCTACCAACGTGACTCAGTCCACCTGTCAGCGACTTCACGGATTTGTGCCAGTACTGAGGCAACAAACCAATCCGTCAAGGCGTATAGTAAAAGTTGTCGATAGGGTATCTGTTACACGGGAACTTTTTCACTCTGGAAAGTGATTTGGACCAAACTGCTCTTAAGAATTTTACTGATGCATGTAGACGCACTATAAATGACACCAATCTACAGCAGACACCTTGTAGATGTTGGGTGACATCATTAACATTCGACAACTTAGAGGACTCTAAATAACCTACCTAATACTACCGTTCTCTTTTTTTTCGAGAGAATAAACTGGGGTTATAGAAGGAACTGGAACATCAAAACGAGTGTTGTGCGCAGAGATTATCACTGATAACCATTCAGAGGAACAGAAATGGCAAGTCACGAAACCCTGGTCCGTTTATGTGGTTGGAAACGCTGGTACGAAAACTGTAATGAGACGTACGCACGCGGCAACTAAACAACATAAAATTGATGTTGTGTATGGCTGTAGGGCACAGCATGCTATGAAATAACTACTAGACCCAAAGACTGACGCGATCACATTGAGTAGATATGCACGCAAAGGTTATCGCACAGAACAAACAGATGCAGAAATTACCATACTTACCTTCAGTCCTTTGAATTTTAGATTTGATTGATGTGATCGTTTCAGTAGGGGAAACATGCAGTTCAAAAAACGAACCCGTTAATGTTTTAACAAAAATGCTCATAGGCATTATCATTTTGAAAGCAAGCTGAAACTAAAGACAATGTACAGCTCATCAGCAATACAATGCGGGTAGATAACCATCACACAGTCGAGACTTAGGGCACTTTAATTTTCCCGCCAAATGCAAGCATGAGACGGTACATACTTTTAGGTTGTATATCAGCCCCATAATGTTCAATTTGCATAGTGCTGAACATTTTTGTGCGTTTCTCATTCGTTCGGAGCGTGGTTTCTACTTGTTAGGCCGAATTTCATACTGATGATCGCACGGAAAACTCAAACTTCCATACTAAAGATGCCACAGTTATTCAGTGTTTGACAACGCCTTTACACATAACATGTTTATGAACGAAGCTTACCAACTGAGCCAGACCAGAAGATAGAAGCCAATAGTTTTCGGAGATATATTTGATAGAATACTGCTATATCGAGAAGTGACTAATCTAAACTAGCTTGCGATTGTAGGACATGTGGAGTTCGAGGTATTCGTGATCTGGTGCGGATGCGTAATCGAGAGCCTTCAGCTAGGTGAGCATATTAAAACTAATATGGTCATCACTCAATATCGAAGACTTACAGAGCTAATGACTTTAAAGATTTATTTACCGCTATAGCTCACTCCCTCTCTTTTGGAGAAGTGGTGACCCTAAGGCGTAGCCAGTCAAAAGATTATACTCAACGAACTAGTCGTTGGTAAACACATATGATAGCTTGCTATGTCCAGTAGTGTATGGTCATTTTTCCTCGCTATAAGGGGCCAGTTGGTACCGTATAATAATGAGAAACAGGAACGATGAAGATTTCGACCCATCGTCAATTTCATTGAATTTTTATCCTTTCCAGAAAATGAAAGTATATGTAAAAGCACGTCAAATTACACCCGTATGTGTGCAGGGACACAAAACGGGTGAAAAAAAATAAACTCATATACATGCGTTTCTCAAACATGAGATAACATGAAAACGATTTTAGCAGAACAATCTATTTGAAAGTGTTTTTGAAAAATAAAAATAGCCACATAAAAGCAAACATATTCGCAATCACAACTAAAATTTTTGTTTTGTAATGGTAAATAAATCCCTAAAATTAATAGCTCTGTAAGTTTTCGACATTGGATGCTGATCACACCAGATCACTTGTGGGAACGCCGTGCTCAACATCTACTGCAATCGCTAGCCAGGTTAGATCAGACGATCCTCGATATATTGACAGTCTATCAAATATATCTTCGAACCTCCTCGCTTCTGTCTTTTGATTTCACTTGGTGGGTACGCTTCATATTAGAAGGTGTTACTGGTTAAAGCGTTGTCAAACTCCGAATACCTGTGACATCTTCAGTTTTTTTCGGAATAAAAACGAGTGTATATGAGCACATCAAAAATGGTTTGTTTTATTTTTCGACACAATACGGAAAAAATCGAGATGAACCAAGATGTTTTGTAGTGTCATGCATGCAGTGGTTAGAACCAATGCCACTAGCATATCTTCCTCTTGAAGCTGGATGAGCTCAAGAAGTTCGATCCCTTGGATTGGAATTTGTGCGAGACAATGCACTCAAAACTTCATTGTTCGCCTCAGACATGTGTTGTATTTTTGAAGTATTTTGAAGTTGTCGAGACTATCTAGGGGAGTACTTATCTGAAGATGAGCATAAAGAAAAGTTAAGAGGTTTGCGATCGACAAGAAGAGTGAAGTTTTATCCTTCTACAGAGTGTTCAAAGTGTCGTACAGAACGAAACATGACTAGTAGTTCCCTAACGAAAGTGCTATACCTCCATTCGGTGTTTGCAGCTGTCTTGAAAAGGGTTACCAGATGTGATTAACCCATTGCTGTAAGACTCCTCCGATTTCCTAGCCGGATGTATCTGCTGCGATTCTATTGGTTTCCTTGTGTGCGAGCAAGTTCTTTAACTGTGAAGAATCCTTTTTGCATGATGTATGGATCGAGTAAGTACTTGACAATAACTGAGGATAATCTGAAATTAAAAAACGAAGTTACATGAACACAAATTAGTATTTCCATCTACTAATCTACATTTGGGCATGTCAATAGGTAGATTATGTTGTTGTATCAGGCCTATACCAGTGATTAACATAGAAATATATGCAATAACGAAGATCCAGTACATGGATTTCCGTAAACCTACATTAAGATGAACATATCGATTGTCAGATGACAAAATCGCTTTTCCATTAGCTGTCTGTAAGTTGGAAAGCAGTCCATTCAGTCGGCCGTTAGGACTTGCAAGAAGAACGCTAACTCTTGCTCCAGTGTCGCCGAAATGGCGAACTTTCATCATTACATCAGTCATGTACAAAAAACGTCTTGGCTTCTGAGTAAATAATGGCTCTACGTATCAAACAGGAGATTGTAAAATCGCTGGCAGCTATTACAAGGAAGTTTGTAGTTGCTTTTAAGCATTGACGGATCACTCTGATATCAATGTGAATCTGAATAACCGTTAGCTCAACGGTGTTGATGGTGCAGGCAACAGCCCCTTGAAGACTGATATGAACCACGATGCACTCTCAAGTTTATGTCTGCAGCTATCGCATTCCAAAACATTCATGTAAATTCTGAAAATCGTTTCAAGGCTCTAAATTGCTATGTTCAATTTTTATCTTGCCTTATATTTTAATATCTTCAGCATGCATAAAAATAGACGATTACGAAAGACTTAATATTTTCCTGATGTTCTCAAATGGTTTAAATGGTTGTGGACAGAATCAAAGAAGCTTTCGTTTAACATGCTTCCGGGTCTAGTATCAGCGGATCGCCAATACAACAAGGCAAGGACCTAAGCATATTAACTATAAAAGAGGAAAAATAACTTGGTAAATCGTAGCAAGATACTACTCTTAGTCCTTAAGAATAGATCAAGTTTTCTGTTAAAGGACTCCTGGGAAGTCGCTTGGACTAGCTCACTCGGCAGCGAATTCCAGCTTTTGACCACTCTTAAGGAGTGGAAGGTGTGCCTACAGTCTGTTCTGTTATGTTGTGTCTCCAGTTTCTGCGTGTTACCCCTTAGGTTTGTGTTGAAGCTAAACTTAGGTAGGTGTTTAAGGGGATGTCCAGAAGTGTTAAGGATTCCATTACAAGGTCACCTCTAAGACACCTGTACTCTTATGAAGACAGATTGAGACACCTCAACTTATTTCCGTTATCTTACCGTCGAATACGGGGTGATCTAATATTGGCTTATCGTATACTGAACGATGACCTTGGTATTAACATGTCTTATCTTTTACTTCCGTCTAGGACTGATCGTTTGAGAGGACACTCGAAAAAAATTCAAAAGCCGAGATCAAATCGTTTACGTCTGGAGTTTCGTTTCTCTCATCGAGTAGTGAATTATTGGAATTCTCTACCGAAACACGTAATATCAGCACCTTCTGTTGATATATTCAAGACGAGATTGGACCTCCACAGTATTACAAACTGCAAGGATTAGTACAGGTCGATAGACCTCCTATCCTTATTACGGAAGACTGAACTTAATGGGTATAACGGCAGATTCTTAATGGATAGTTGCTCAAGAACCAAACGCAATGTTTGCGGTTGAGAAGATGACATACTTAAAATTGCTTATTTTGCAGTTTTAAGTTTTTAGACGCGACTAGACTACCTAATTGTGCTTCGGTTTGGTCATCTAGGCAAAATCCCAACCCTCATGAAAAGCATTCGATTTCTGTGGAACATCTATATTTGATGCCCCCCTGTAACAATGTTTATGTGTTTAAATAAATAGATAAAATAACCTAAATATGCAAACATTACGAACTGTTGTAGGCTAACACAAGTTTGACAAATCAAGAGCACTCTAGATGCGAAATGCCCGCCTTGACTAGAGCCACTCAAGGTGATGGAGGCAGATTCGACCTGGACGCAGCTTTCCATCGGGAAGTCAGGACATCAAGCCACGGGCTTTCGCACAGACGTTACATGTTGTCGAGGATTTTCGAAGTCATTATTTGTCGGCTATTAACAGCATTTTTCCCGTTACACGTCAAATTTTATAATGTTTGTGCTTGTTGCACAGCGTTTATTCCAGTTTATAAATGGTCTGGAAGTCTGATTCCTTGCGTGTGATGCATTTTCTGCTTCATGACATAGAAATAAAACAGGCCTTCAAAACACTTTTTGAAAGTTTTCTGTAAGAAAACCTCTCCACTGTTGTGACTTGTTCTCCTTGGTTCCTTCAGATGATCTATTGATTGACTAGAAAAAAAGCAAGCAAACTATAAAGTTGATATCCATCCCTACGTAACTTTACTTGATATCCATAAGACTGTATAAACAGCGGCGATATATGCCAGTGACTTAAAACAAAAGCTTAAGAAAAATTACCGTATTTCAAATGCTTTAAATGTTTGTGGACAGAATCAAAGAAGCTTTCGTTTAACAGGCTTCCGGGTCTAGTATCAGCGGATCGCCAATACAACAAGGCAAGGACCTAAGCATATTAACTATAAAAGAGGAAAAATAACTTGGTAAATCGTAGCAAGATACTACTCTTAGTCCTTAAGAATAGATCAAGTTTTCTGTTAAAGGACTCCTGGGAAGTCGCTTGGACTAGCTCACTTGGCAGCGAATTCCAGCTTTTGACCACTCTTAAGGGGTGGAAGGTGTGCCTACAGTCTGTTCTGTTATGTTGTGTCTCCAGTTTCTGCGTGTTACCCCTTAGGTTTGTGTTGAAGCTAAACTTAGGTAGGTGTTTAAGGGGATGTCCAGAAGTGTTAAGGATTCCATTACAAGGTCACCTCTAAGACACCTGTACTATAATGAGTAAAGGTTCAGTGATCGAAGGCGCTCTTCATAAGACTTGAATAACAGTCTCCGAACTGATTTAGTGGCTCACCGTTGGATACACTCCAGAGTGTCCTTATCCTTTTAGAGTGAGGGAGAAATTACTACGTTTCCGTACTCTAAATGGGGACGAAGGAAACTGTTGAAGATTACGTGAAAAGTCATTCCGTCAAACTGGCTAAAATGCGCTGTAGTCTGCAGCATGCATCAGGTGGACAAATTTATACTTTGAAGTGTTCAAGGTAAGTTCGTTGTCATCGGCCCAAATTTGAAGTCGAGTCAGATAATAAATAGTTGTGTATACCGCGTCGA